CTGCCATGACAGACTGCAAATCACTGGATCTCAGCTACAGTGACCTCCTGTACAGTCACTAATCTGGCACCCTTCTTCATCTTCAACAACTTTTATACAAACATTTAAATGTCTTCTAATGTTGGTCCTCACCCTTGTTTTCCCATTTCTTAAAATCCTTAACATCCTTCTCATTCCCTCATCTATTTTATTGAGGATTCACATCAACAGGAAAGTTTATTTAGCCTTCAAAGCTGCATTTTGAATTGATCCACAGCAACAAACATGGAGAAAAAAATGTAATGTTGGCAATTTCTCACACAATCAGAGACTTCAGTTTCAGTTCCTAATTACAGAGATTATAAGAAGGTCTGCAATTTCAAAACACAAGATTCCTGTCTTGGCCTTGGGCTGTAGCAGTCTTTTTCTCCACATGCAAGAACTTAGCCTACCCAACAGGAAAATGCAGCTTCTTTGCAACTGCAAGATGATGTTTGTCATAGGAGCCCAAAACTGAGCTATAATTCAGCAGGGATGCCCACATTTGACACTTCAGGTACACTACATTACAACCAAACAGAGAAGCCATGAGACTTCATTAAAACACTTCTTTTACCTATTTCTGTTTTTCACAAACATTTTGTGAAAAGAAGAATTAATTCAAGTAGACTGCTGCACTTCAATTCTGCTTTACTTTCTTTAGCTCTCTCTTTTTTTTTTTTTTTTAATTGCCAGCTCAGGACTTGGGCAGCTCCACGTGAGAGGCTGTGGAGCCAGAACTGGCTGCAGGGCAGGTATGTGAAAAATGAAGCTTCTGACACTGGCAGGCTCCTCTCTGTGTAAACACCAGGAGTGACAGGTGAGGTGAAAGTATTGCAAAACCATCATTCCTCTTCTGTTTCCACTTGATACTGTGCCCAATAGACAACAACAGAATGTCAGCAGATATGCAGCTCAGCAATACTGATTTTTTTAAAGCACTGCAGTTTGAGTAACACATCCCATAACTACAGCCTCATACCTTCCTTTCTAAACCATTTGTAGACCATCAGCCTGGCCCACGTGGCAGAGTGGGTGCCATGTGATAAGTATTTGGCATTACCCTGTTCTTTAAAGCACTCACCCAGAACCACTCTTGCTCCACAGAGTTCAAAGATTCAATGCACGTGATGAATTTGCAATCTCACTGTGGAATGCAACAGCTGTGTTTTGTTCAAGAGCAATTTAGTCGAAGCACAACTAAATAATGCAATGATTATCTGTGCCTTTTTAAACTACAGACTAAGAAATTGTATTTTTTTGGTATGCATTTCTCATCTTCAGATTTAGGCACACTATTTCAGTGAGTGATATTATGTCCATAATCATCTCTGTAATATGTAGGAGTAGCTTGATTTTTAAGGCAAATTTCCCAGACAATTTAAATATCTAAAAATTACCTATGCACTTTCAACAACAACAACAAAAATCTAATTTGTGTTCATAAACTCACCAGATGGCAGTTAAAAAGGCAAGTAATTCAAACCATGTTTACTATCAAATTCCTCTAGTAACCGACCAACATTCAGCATATAGCAAACCAGAACCAGTCTCCTCCACACACCAGTACCACAGCACAGTCTGATCACTACTCGTGTTCTTTTAGACCAGTCACAATTCCTGCTCTTGACCCTTAAAAGCAGATTAGTGAAGCGGATTGTGGTAGGAACTTTGTAACAGCTGGAGTGCACAGGCCCTACTGCCGAAGTGCAGTAAGAGAATGGCGTATCAGGAGACAAGAAATTGTGGGAGATAACCTGCTCTTGACGAAGCACTAACTTGCCAAAATAAGTAAGTCACATTCAAATTCTTATCAGTATTAAAGAGACAGTCTAAACTGCTCAGGAAAGGATGCAGTTAGGGGATGACAGAAGCATCACAGATGAGCAGCTGCGTGTTTCAGTGGTGGTGTGACTGCACTCCTGAAGTTTTAAGAAAACATCAGCTTGAGAAACCCACACAAGCACGTCCCACTCGGGAGGGCTGGGGAGCTGAATAGCCCTGGAGCTAGCTCACTTCTTACCCCTGGTAGCCCTGGAAGGCACCTCCCGGCCTGCCTCCCTCCCAGACTTCCCAGCTGACCCACACAGGGGCCCTGAGGGGTCTGAAACCCCACTGTGGGCACTCCACTGCAGGAATCGCCTATCCCGCTAATTGCAGGCTCGTAACTGAATCCGCATCGAGAGTACGAGAGCAGTATTTTTGAAAAGCACACATAAACAATACTATGAAGGCACGGGGCCGAAGGCCTACGGCCTGATTAGAAGCACGCTATTAACAGTTACCAAAAGTAACTTAGAAGCGGGAATAAAAATAAATAAATCTCCAAACCTAAAATTCCCTGGAGACGCGGAGGGCTCTCCCCCGCCCCCGGCGGGCCCCGCGTCAGGAGGAAGCGCCTCCCGCGCCTGCACCTGCACCTGCCGCGGCCCCGCTGCCGGGGCGGCCCCGCTCCCTCACAGCGGCCGCCCCGGCGCCCCCGCGGCAGCCCGGCCGGAGCCCTCCCGCCCCGCCGCCCCCTCACCTGCTGCCCAGGAGGCTCCTCGCTCGCTCAGCCAGCGCGCCCGGCACCTCGGCCCTGCTCAGGGCGCCGCTCCCCGCGGAGCTCCACGGCAGCGGCTCCCCCGGGCCCAGCGGCGCCGGGAAGTCCCTCAGGAAGGAGCTCAGGGGAGCCGCGGACGGCTCTAATTCCAGCGCCATGGCGGCGCTGCCCGGCCGGGAGGGGCGGGCGGGGCGGGGCCGGCGGTTGAGAGAGGGGTGCCGGCCCCTTTAAGGGGCGCGCGGGGGCGGGGCCCGGCGGGGCGGGGCCTGCGGAGGGGCGGGGCCGCGAACAATGCCGAGAATGCTGGGCGGGAGCGCCCGGCGGCCGCGCCGCTCTCTGCCCAGCGCAGCGGCAGGCGCTCTCTGCGCACCCTCTGCCATCAGACAACGGCTGGAAGCAGCAGAAAAGAGAACAAGCGTGTTTCTTAGGGATGCCTCTTCACTGAGCCCTCACCGCGCTCAGCACTCACGGAGTTCTAGAATAACCTCAGTTAGAAGGGACCATCAGGATCAGTCCAAAAATCTCACCATGTGCCTGACAGCACTATCCAGCCTTCCTATGGTTTACTCTCCAGACCCTTCCCCATCCTCGTGGCTCTCCTTTGGATGTTTTCTAACAGCTTAATGTACTTTTTTACATTGTGAAGCCCAAAACTGCATACAGTACTAAGGTGAATACTGCCCCAGGTGAGCGGCTTTTCCATCCTAAAATACTTGGCAGTAAATTATGAAGAATTACACACCCTGACAAATGACACACCGAGATACATGCAAATAGGAAGGGTGCAAAGAGATTTTACAAGCAAAAGTTTGTCTGCAAATGACCAAATTTAGCCATGCTTGGAGGAAAGCATTCTCACTCAGCTCAGAAGCCATGGACCAATGACAGGTTTCCCACACTTCCAGGACCATCTCCAAGCATCACAGAAATCCCAGCCAGGAGCAGCAGCCAGCTAGGCACACAGGTATGTTCAGAGTAGCTCCTGGTGTACAAATCAGGCTACAGGTAAGACAGGACTTCAACAAATCTGTATCAGTTGAATCAGTACAAACACCCCTGAAGCCACTGTAGTTCATGCCAAGACCTATGACTCCGAGGCGCCACATCAACTTGATTTTTAAAATAATGTCGTGGTTCTTCATGAAAAGAAGCTATTTGCTCCAGCCTGCTTTTACCAGAAAGAACTAAAAAGAACTACAGAAAAAAACCCTTCTACCTATGGCTGGATCTTCTAAGCAGTACTGTTAAAACACAGTTCATGTTTGAGCTGTAACTCAACATATAAACAAACATTTGATCAGAGAACAGGCTTGGCGCTGTGGTATTTGGGTTGTGTTCTCTGGTTCAGTAAATGCATACACTGTGCCAATTAAAACAGCAGAGTTGTAAATTACCCTTGCAAGGACTTGTCTTTCCTCTGTTGCCAGTGCATCCCATGTCAGGTCACTCTGCACATTCTCTGTTGAAATGCAGCGGCCTTTGTACCTCCCATCTGACCATAACTAGTGCTGAAACTGTTTTGGGGCTACAGATGACACAAACTGTACTTGACCAGCTGACCAGACATGCTCAGCCATGAGCACATGCAAGGAAAGGAGAGTATTATATATTTGTACAACAAGATTTTGCAGTGTGGCACCCAGTGCTGCAGTGGTTAGATACAGCTCCACACGAAAGGATGAGAACCCTCCTTTTGACAACAAAACTAACCAACACTGAAATGATAATTCAGGGAACAGACAGGACAACCTCTATTTTGTCAGATATGATCTGCTACGTGACCACAGAGGAATAAACCAGCATGGATACTCAATCTGTCTTCCAGCAGCAGGAGGAGGTCTCATTTAACTGGGCCCCATTGACTGTGAGATACTAACTCGTCTGTGCAGGCCATAATTTGGGAATCACTGCTCAAGGCACATATTCCCCTTCACATTTATAATTTCCATTTTGTATGTCTGTTGGCATTATTCACTTATGCAGCAGAATGACAGACTTGAAGCAGTGCTCTTGCTATTGCAGATGTAATTTAAAAATCTGACAGCTACTAATCATTTCTTATTTTTGAAGATTCAAAGGCAGATGAAGCAAGTCTCATGCCACACTTAAAGACTATGGCAGCATAACACTGATTCTTAATCAGTTCTTATATTCCTGGCACCTGCATTGTTGACAAAGGCCCCAGAAATGTCAGAAGAAACAAATTCCATTTCCTTTCTATTAGCCACAGTTAACAGTCCAAGGAGACTTCTTGAGTCTCCCTACTGTTTGTGAGCTCTAATTGTATCAATGAATCCCAATTAAAAGCTTAAAGGCGTACTCAGTTGCTGATGGATCATCCAGAATAGTTTGTTTTGGGAGCAACCTAAGGTGTTTAACTGTTCTAAGAACAGGAAAGTGGTGAAACATCAAAGATACTTAAAAATAAACTCAAAGAGCATAATTTTTATAAGAAGTTTATTTTCCTGTTGTGTGGCCACTATACAAAGTAAGCAGCCAGAGCTGCCATTTTGTCCTTGGGTTTCTTTGGGTTGAGTCTTCCTCCAGGTCTCCGGCCTTTGCCCCTTCCCCGCCCCTGCCTCTTCCCTTGTCCCCCACGGTGCATGGGATGCCTCATGGCCGCGTGTTTCAGCTCCACCAGATCCTGGAACACGGGGTCACAGAACACACAGCCTGAGTGCTGGGTCTCATCACCAGGCAGGGGAGATTTGGCTTTGTTGAAATCCACATCCACGAGCGCCGCCTCACACAGGTCGCAGGTGTCGGCCGACACGCGGACCTTGTGGGCGTTCTCGAAGAAATGCACGATCACGTTGCATTTGTTGCAGGCCATCTTCCACTTGGGGCCCGACGTGGGGTCCAGCACCAGAACCCCGTTCTCACACTCCACGCACTGCCCAATTCCAAGCATGCTAAGGGAATGCTGGCACGTGGGGTGGGTGCACTCATTACAGCCCATGCCTGGGGAAGAAAAGTGAAACCACAGCACCCTTTATCTCACTACTCACACTAGCCAGTTTGAAGGAAGTGAGACACAGAAGCCAGAAACACTTGAGAATACTGCTCATTTTCTAAATTGCTAAAGATGGAACTGCTCCCAAAATGGCAACTTGCCTTTTCACAGTTTCAGAATAATCCCCTACTGAAAAATTTTTCTATAATGGTTTTCAGAATTGCCATATACTGCCACTGTACAGTACAGGCAGTTTAGACAGATTAGTGATGAAAACTCATTACATTTTCAATTAAATGTATGGCTCCTGCCTAACTGTCATTTTATACTTGACCTATTCACTGTTAGTCCAAGACACTTTTAATTAAAAGATGGTAATAAAAAGATGCTGAAAAGCTTCAGTGCACTACTTAAGTAAGTTTCAGTCCCCTAACTGCAACTTCTACTTCTTCTTCTATCCTTCAACAGCTTTTGATGCACCATTTATCTCTATCAAAACATTCCCAAGACCTGGTCTTTGTTTATACTCCTATCCAAGCCTACTCCAATTTGCAAGGCATCAGTATCTTGGTGTCTTTCACTGCATGCTGAGTGTTGTGAAGGTCACCTACAGTGCATGCAGGTAAATAATTTTCTTACTTCTTCTATGAAAAAAAAATTTAAAAATTTATTAATTAATAAGTTTTGGTCAGTAAGTTTAACATGAATTTTAGGCATCTAGAGTCTAATTTGAACAGCATTTTATACTAAGCAAAACTGATTTTAAAATTCCTAAAAAGCCCATTGTATAGACTGTACCTAATTTATTTCAGGTGAGGATGCTACCTGCATGTTTGTAGAACTCCTACCTTTTTTCATGTCCCTGAAGGGAGGATGGTTGTAGCAGTACGGACACAGTGGATAGCTCTTTCCTCTGGATCCAGATGACCACAGCACCAGCTCAAAGTCATCCAGGGGACAACGCAACTCCTTGTAGAGTTTAATGGTACCATTCTGGGGAAGACTGTAGGTGTCATCACAGTGAGAGCAGTGCAGGCGACTTGGCTTGGCCTGGAAACAGAACACAAATCTCCTGAGCACGTGCAGGGTCTGCACAGTTTATGCAATGCCCCCCGGCAAGCAAAATTCAAATTTTAAGTATGAGATAAACTGACCTGAATATACTTCATGAAACGATGGCATTTACCACAGCGGGAAAGAGGCTTGCCTGTGGCAGCCAAGGGTGAAAAAGACACTTCCATCAGTTCATCCATACCTGCAAAAGGAATAACCACACTTAGGTTAGAATTCTAGTTTTTAAGAGGAAACTTGGCACAAAAACATCTACGGATCTGTGAAGAAGTGAGCATTAAAATATTTTACTCACAATGCTCTTCTTTGTCTACAAACACACAGCATGTTGCACTGAGCATGCACAAACACACTGGTTCAACTAATCTCAAATTTTCAAAAACTCACCACTGCACAGGCACAAAATAAACTTGAAGTAGAGTTTTGGAGACATGATTCAGTCCATCTCCCTTTGGAGAGCAAATTAATTTGACTGGAAACTTCCAATTCTGGCTAAACTTTTCAGAAAGCCTAAGCCTCTGAAAGGAGCCTAAAACATAAGTATTTTCTATGCAATAACTAAGTAATTGTAGGGAACTTCACATAGGAAAAGTAGAAAGTTTTACCTGCAATAGAATCCACAAAATAGTGAAATTTCCTTTTGAAAATGTCAAGGGTGTGCTCCAGGACCTGATGATAATTTGCTTTACCCAGAGCTATTAAATTGAGTTGCTTCTCTACAGCACTGCGGATTGTAGGAAGAACCAATTCTGCATCTAACAGGAAACCAGAGACAGCAGCAATGAAAGGTCAAAAACGGAGGTAGGAAACCGTTCATACATAAACTGACATCAAGTAAGCATTATTTGAGACAGAAATGTTACTTACACATTGACATCAGCATTTGATATAGTACAGGGAACGGAAGGTAAGAGGATGGAAAGGGAAGAGCATTTAACTGACCTATTTTGTAATAACCATGAACCAGAACAATGCCAAGGTTTGTAGGCTTTAGTCTTCGACCACTCTCCACTGTGACATAGTTTCTCTGGCAAATGTTGTTAATGTGGACTGGAATACTGGCATCAGTTCCTGCCACACAAAGGAAAACAATATATCCACCCTGAACAAAACAGAGTTTTCATCAAATGTCTCGCTTCTGGCTTCCCTGGTTTAATATCAAATTACAAGGCTCCTAAGACTGCTTAAATTCAGATACCTTCTTACTGTTACCCAATTTCCAGTGCATAACTTCTCTCTCTAGTGACTCTGATGTTCCTTTGCAATTCTGATAAGTCTGAAACATATGGTTCAACCTTAATCCTTTCATCTCTTCCAATGAATTACTACTGGGAAGACACCTATTCTCACAGTTATTTACTCTGGAAAAACACAGTAGAGTGAGAGACTGTGTTTGCTCTGACAGGGCAAATTCATGAAAATAAATTAACAGAAACAAGTCAGACTGATAAAGGAAAGTAGAATTGTGGTAAATTGTATAAGATACAGAAGGATTACTGAAGAGAGCAAAGCTAAAGCAAGCTGTAAAGACAAGAAATCATTCCTAAGAACAGGAGGTGTTTCCTTCCACACATCAGCTCTTTCTGACAGAGAAGTGACAGGGATGTGTTATGAAAGGAAAGGAAAGGGCAGAAGTGTTTGGCCAGAAACCAGAAACTACTGAAAACAAGGATAAGAAAGGGAAAGGAACGTGGGAGAAGAAACAATCTACCATCTGCTGAAAGGAGCTATGGGCATGGTGGTTTGAAGGGGAAGAGATGATCACTGTACATATCTAAATGAATACTGAGAGCTCATTACTGACAGAGTACAGAGGAGTGATTCAGACTCTTTGCACTCTTGGTGGATGTACTGCAGAACAATGTAAGCTAAGCCAGTTCCTACCAATGCCATGCTTTTCCATCAGAGTGATCAGTTCTGCTTCTGTCAGGTAATCAGGAGGGCTGGTTTGCTTTTCCAGCAACTTTATTTCACCAATTGGAAAAAGATCTCCTTTCTCACAGTGGGGAAGGCTCTCTTCTAATGGGATGCTGTGCCATGGCATAATTTCTGTGAACCCTGTAGGTAAAGAAACAAGCAACTTGGCAGTTTACCAATAAAAGTCTCAGTAGCGCTGCTACATTCCTTTTAGAGTCCCAAGAAAAAAATACCTTTGTGTAATTTATCCCCCAAAAGGCATTTACTGTTTGTAAAAAGACTGGTCTTCACACTGGCAAATGTGGCATTAAATCTTTGAGACTACTACATTATAAACAACACTTTTTTTTTATCATAACTGAAGTAAGAAAATTAGGACAAGATTAGGTCTCTGGTTTTGAGAACTCAAAAAAGTCTTCACAATTGCTCGTCCCCAGAGCTACACTTTCATATCCATTCAGTGTATTAATGGGGAAAAAATTAATCTGCAGCTAATACTTTCTCCAAATTTGTCTTACCTGGTGAAGTTACCACCTTTCCAACACAGGTAAATCTTTCAGGGCCAATACTGAAGGAAATGGTGGTTTGTAGGTACTTGCAGTCAGCACTGACAGTGGCAATGAAGTGCCGAGTTATGTACTCGTACAGTCGCCACCCATCTCCCCCTGGAGAGAAACGACACCTCAGACACAAAATAGAATCAAATTTCACTACTTGGAAGTTACTATTCTGGGACAAATTTCTCCTAGAAACATAGGCATTAAGTTTTTCCTTTTTCTTGGCAGTACTATAGTCCCAAGGATCAATTGCTGAAGCAGCTCTGAACTTCACTGTCACCCAAAGTTTCAGTGAGGAACAAGTTTGCTGTCTCTTCACTCCTTGCCATTCAAATAATTTTATTTTCTGTTGCAACTCAGTGAAACGGGCACCTGATACCTCAAGGGACTGATTTCCTCACACCATGTCCCAACACCACTGAATTTGCATGTACCTAATTCTGCTTCTGTTGCAGCTCTCATTGGGGTGATGGGAGGATGGTCTCCTGCATCATGGCCTTTCCTTGGACGATTGATGCCTTCTGACAGCAATGATTTTACCTGAGTGCAGAAAAAAACGGCTTACTCAGATCAAATACATAACAATACAACATGAATAAAAGAAATGACAGATATTTAAAGTTTCTGAAGGCCTAGAGGTCATAATACACCAAACAAGATCTAGTCTAAAACAGACTAGAGAATGATAATACAGCTTTTGCTTCATGTACTTACAGTTTCTGCCCAGTAAGGATTATTGGCTTGTTGTCTCAAACATCCTTTCAGGTCAAAGTTTTCTGGATAATGGGTAGTTTCTGTTCGAGGATAGCTGATATAACCTTGAGTGTAAAGACGTTCTGCTATTTGCATGGCATGTTGGGGACCCATTCCTGAGAGGGGACAGGAGAAAACAAAAGCCATATACACATGCCTGTGATGATGGTTTGTTGTATCTGGATGTACACTTTACCCAAGTATTTAAATAAATTATGGTTTGTCCTTTCCATAAGGCTTTTGTCACCTTGATCTTGCCAAATATTTCACTTTTGACAAGCAGCTTTCTAAACTTGCTCCTTTATGTATTATTTGTTTTGTTTGAGAGGTCAAAATATTTTGCTTTAAAACAGTGTGAAAATCTCAACTTTTGTACCTACCTAAAGCAGCACTGGCTACTCGGAGCATTTCTACTGTGTTCAGAGCCAGTGGTCTCTGTTTCACTTTCTCTTTTTTACTCACAGATTCTACCTAGAAAACAGCATTTTCACATAAAAGTTCTGACATTTGGTAAATGCTTAATTTTAACCATGTCTATAAATATGTATCATACCTACCATTGTCTATTCTTATCATATCTGCTTTGTTCTCTTAATACAGTAACCACCAATATATTTTTACTTTAGAAAATCTGACTGGAGATAATTTTATCAAGTTCTAAAATTAAAGTCCCTTTGTGCCAGGACTAGATGAGATCTATAACTAACTGAGAACACAGCAAGGCAGCTCATTGCTGTCTTTACTTCCCACTTACCTCAGCAGCACCAACTTTCAGTGCTACGAGGATTTAGTGCTCATTCCAAGCAACATTTCTAACTACAAGAATGCAGATTTTCAAAAGCTTCAAGCAGTCTTTGAACCTTGATGTCTACAAGCACTTAAATCCAACTGTCAAACAAGTATTGAACAGAGCAGAGTTGTAAGTTAATTGGCTATAAAGACATACACATGATTAAATATTTAACTGCAGGAATATTGCCCTACACATAATTAAATTCCGATTTATTCAATGTCTCATGGGAAATAAGAGGTCTGCTTGGAGACACCTGAACAGTATTTCCTAGCAGGTTTAGTAATGAAGAGTTCCTATCATGAGTGATGAGCAATTCCAAAGTCAATACTAAGAAGAGGCCTCTGCTGAGATAACCACATCAGCAGAGTACAATCTATACTAAAAAAATCCCTTGCCTTTTATTCTCATTTACACAAAGCTGAATGAAGTAAAAACCAAAATACAGATATTCTACACTCTTTAACAAAAACAACCAAAAGCCTCAATACTCAGCAAATGAAATATTAAATTGTATTTCCTTCATATGAAATATGGATCTACTGGCACTGGGTAAATATTCTTACCTTTGCTTCTTTTGCCATCTTTGTTATATTCAGAAACATTTGAGCAACCTCACGATCAAAAACCCTCACTCTATCCCAATCCAAAGTGAGAGAACTTTCTTTTTCAGGGTTCACCTATTGGATGAAAAAAAAATTAATTCCCACCAGCTCTACTCCTAGAAGTGTGAGAGTCCAGCAAGCAAATCCTAGGACATACAGTATTTCTTAGGACAAATTTAGGACAAACCCACACCAGGACACCAGTGCTCAAATATGCAGTTGTGCTCTTTTGCTGGGGGGCTTTCGAGGAGGATGGAGCACTTGTCTGGGGTCTGGGGAATGACCAGAACTATTCCTGACTGCACTGAAATACTGTCCTTGTTTAGTGCTGGGAACAGTAAAGACTGAAATAGGCAGAAATGCAAAGTTTACCGTTTTGATTTGGAAGAATCAACCATTTGTATTAAACTGTCACTAGGTCACGTTTTCAGCCCCGTGTACAAAACTTAGTATGAAGTGACCAACACGAGAGAGCACAAACCCCTCTCTAAACAGCACCAAGTATTTCCTAGCATGACACACAAGACACAATAGATGACAGCAGATGCCAGATTTCACTTTTTTTTTTACTTTTAAAGTACAAAAATGCCAACTTCTCACCATGAATCCCTTATTTGCTTAAAAAATCCTTGTGATCACAAGCCATAAAACCCTGTTGGTTTGCTCTCAGAGCTTGGACAGCAGCGAGGCTGCAAAACTCCTCTAAGCTGCCAAAGTACTCTGAGGACTCAACTGCCAATTAACACAATGAGCATTTTATTTGCTTTAAAATTCCAATAGTCAGCAATGCCAATGTTTGTTGGCAGGCTAATTAATTCCTGGGTTCAAATTAACAAAAGTCAGTCCAAAGACCCCAGGGAACAAAAGAGAACCATTTTAAGTAGTCTTTTTGGCAGAATCTAAGCTTAGACGATTAGCACCGAAGAATTCTTATAAGGAGCAGACAATAAGCACTTTAATACAAAACTGACATCCTGAAATCTCTTCTTGAGAGTGGTGACACATATGTGAACAGAATGAGAACACATGAGTAAACTACAGGCATTGTGAATTCCTGTCAGCAGCTATGAATTTATGAATTAATAAAATCCAAATGCATTTCTTTTGTAAAATCAAGTACTGTAAAACTTACTTTAGCTTGCAACACCCAGTAAGTCTCAGGCTTAAATGACTGGATTTTGTCATGCCTCTCAACACAGAATCCAAGTGTTGGGGTCTGACATGGCCCAAAGGAGATGAGGGAGCTGTCTAAATTCCCATATTTCCCCTGAAAATATTTAGTCTGGAACCTAAGAGAAGGGCAGGGGAAAAAAACATTAATACATTAATATCCTCATTCCCATGAAAAGCAGACGTTTTTGTTATCATACATGCACAAAATATGAGTCATCTATAAAATTATTCAGGCATTAGGAAAAGAGCATTCTGAGAAATATCATCTCTTACAGCTAATTAAGACATAATCATTTTGCCTCACAAGGAGCTGGGAGGGGACACAGCCAGGACAGCTGATCCCAGCTGACCAAAGGGATATTCCAGATCATGTGACATCATGCTCACCATATGAAGCTGGGGGAATAAGAAGGGAGGGGGGAACAGTTGGGGTGATGCTATTTGATTTTCCAAGTAATGGGTGATGGAGCCCAGCTTTCCTGGGGATGGCTGAACACCTGCCTGCCCCTGGGAAGTGGTGAGTTAATTCCTTATTTTGCTTTCCTTGTGTGTGCAGCTTTTGTTTACCTATTAAACTGTCTTTATCTCAAACCCAGCTTTCTCACTTCTACCCACCCAGTACTCTGCCCCACCCCAGGCGTGGGAGGCAGTGGCTGTGTGGGGCTTGGCTGGGGTTAAACCACAAGGGCATAGAGCCATCCTGAACCCTTCACAAAACCATCTGCAGGCTGTGCTGTCACCTTGTGAAGGCACAGCCAATCCTCAAATCCAGCTCCTGGCGGGCATCCACGGACAGAGCTTCGTTGCGATTGGGCTCTCCCAAGTGATTCATGGCATTGCAGATGTCTGTGTCAGTGATGGAACTGAATTTAGCTCTGTAAATCGTCCTCTCTGTGCCACGAGGTTTGTTCATGACAGGAAGAACAGCATCAAGAACCTAAGGAAAATCAGAAGTGTAGTTAAAGAGGATTTGAAAGAAAAAGGTTTTCTCTCTAGAGATAAACAAAACCCTCTCCACGAAATATTTTCTGTGTCACTGCTTTCTTAATTCAGCAAGATGTCATGCCAATACATTAACTGATAAGCCAGAGCAGTATTTCTCCACTCAAAAGCACATGGAGAATTAACAAAACTGAAGGATTTATTTACTATGCAGTAACTGCTGGGAGCAAATCAGTATTTTTGGCTAAGAGCACCTGCAGTGCAGCTGCAGCACCTTTTGGTGAACATGTACCAGTGTTCATCTGAGCTTATTCTATTCATTGCTAAGGCACAAGTACATACAGGGATATGTAAAGAACTTAAAATAATCACCTGACAAAACACGTTTCTTTAAACTAAAGAAAATCCCCAAACAAATACTCTTCATGTAGACTTCTGGGAATACGATGTAAAAAAAAAAAAATCTTAGCAAAGTTTTAGTTCTCTGCTTTTTATATGCAGAGGCCAAATTTCTGCAGTAGCCTACATTTACAAGCAGCTTTTCTGCTCTAAAGCATCAAATTTCTTAATAAACAAAAGATAACAAAGATGAAGTTTTATAAGGATATAAAAATAACTACTCCAGCTGTGGAATACAGACCAATTCCTGAAGCATTGGAATGTTCTAACATTTAAGAGGCCTGATTGCTCATCTGAGATGAGCAACACCTCTGAAATTTATTTATACTCTTTAACTGACACCTTACAGAGTTCAAAGCATGTGAGTTTTTCCACCAAGGCTCTCTATCCCCTTAAAACTTTATTCAACTTTAGTTTGAATTTTACTGTATACTCATAAAACAATGCATTGATAGTCTTGTTAGACATATATTATGGTATAATGAGTCTTAAAAATGGAAACCTTACTTCAAAACAGATGTTTTCTCCTTCCTTATCACAATCCAACCACAAGACAATACAATCACAGCCTCTGCCCTCCACCTGTGAGAAAAATTAGCACAGTTCTTCAGCAACTCAAAAAACCACCTCTCCCCTCCCTACCTATATTTCTTTCTCTGGTTTCAGCAGGGTGTGTGAAGTGTGAACAGTAACCAACACAGACTTATTTTAAAGAAGGCATTTATAAGCTGTGCCTTGCACTTGCTGTTAAAGCTAAACTTGCATCCAATGGTCCAATTCAAGTATTGAATTGAATTGAATGGAGAAGCAGGATATCAACCGTCAAAAAACTCAGAAGGCAATTGCAAAAGTGAATTTAACAAAGATTTCAGACAGTGTAAGAACCAGCAAAAATAAAATATTGCTTATATTATGCTAATAAAATAGATCTAACTGTTGCCAAAAAGCTAGTCCCTGGAGGAATTCTTATTTAGGAACACAGAAAATTATAACTCTAAATACTACTCCTAAGAAAGAATACCTGTAAAAACTTCACCATGGTCAGTTTGGGATTAGCTTCTTTCTTTTCTGTGGGAGCTTTACTAAAAAGTTCTGCTGGATCCACTTTGTCCCAGCTGTTATATTTTCCTGAAAAGCAAAAGTATATTAAATGGAGCTCTGAAGAAATATTTAGAAAACAAATAGCCTTACTTTACAAAATACTTGGCTTTCAAAATGTGTATGGTAAATTTTCCACCTAGCACATCTTGCTTTACTGTATACCAAGGGACCTCTTAGGTTTTTCTGAAAGACCTGGCAGCTCTACAAGCTGTATTAGTTAAACCACCTGATGAGCAGGCACATACCTATGAAATCCAGAGTCATGACATGACCACACACCGATGTCATCTTGAAGTGAGCACTCTGCCCTATGAAGGACCCAGTGTACTCGTGCACAGAGCACGCACCATTGAGTCCCTTGCGAGAGGACATGTTCCCTGTGAAAATAGGATCATAAATATTAATGAGGTAAAAAAACCCCAGCTGTTGAAACAATTTATTTTGTGTGAAATTACATCCCCCTTTCCTTAGATCTTACAGCTAGGATCTTCCTGACCACAAAATTCTACTCAATAATCAAGTACTCATTAAGTATCAATTCAGGGCTTTCCTAAAGTATATTTCATCTTCAAATTAAACGAAATCCATTGTCTCCACCAGTCTTTCCCTCCCACCACGAAACCCTATAAAAACACAGCTAGTTTTCTAGAACACACAGTTATAATCAATTTATTTTCCAGATTTACGAAACTTTCAAAATCTCAGAACAGCAACTTGCTACTTGATTGGTACTTTCTAAGCACCGTATGCTCCAAGGCACACTAGAGCTACACAAAATATCGAAACCAGATTCCTTTATTCTTGGATTAAACAGGCAACAGAACGAATCAGAACGTGATGGGACACCCCGTTATTTTATGAGCCTGTCCGAAGCCACCGTTCCCAGACAATGAAGGCACAGACAGGGTGTTTCACCCTCACTGCACTGACAGCAGCCCGGGCAGACCCTGGCGGCAGCGCGCACACAGCCCCGCGCCCCGGCCGTGCCCGCACAGCGCTCCGCCTCAGTGGCGGCACCGCACCCGCCCCGCCCCCGTACCTCTGGAGAGGATCTTGGCGATGGACTGCGCCAGGGACGGCTTCTCCGCCACCATCAGCACGGTCCTCATCTTCGGCCGCTGCGGCGCGGAGCCGCGGGGCCGGGCCGGCGGAGCTGGGGGACAGCGGCTCCCGCGCCTGAGGGGACAGAGCGCGGCTCAGCCCGCTCGCTCCGGGGCACGGCGGCACCCGCAGCCCCGCGGCCGAGGGGCACGGCCGGGCCCGCTTCCACCCTAGCGCCAACCACACGGCGCGGCCGCCGGGAGCCGCCGCCCGCCGAGGAACCGCCGCGCGCCCCGCTCCGCCCCGCCGGGCTCGGCCGCGCTCCGCGCCTCAGCGGGCGGCCATGGCCGCGTCACTGCCGGGTCACGGCGCCGGAAGGCGAGGGCGGCTCCACACGGCTGCGGCGGCGCGGGCGGGCGCGGCACACACAGACATACACAGAAACACGTGTGCGGACACACGGACATGTGTGCGGACACACGGACACACACACAGAGACATACACACGGACATGTGTGCGGACACACGGACACACACACAGACATACACACGGTCACGTTTGTGCGGACGCACGGACACACACACGGACGTACACACAGATGTGTGCGGACACACGGACATACACACAGACATACTCACGGACACAGACACAGGGACACACACATTTACACACGTACACCCACACACACATGTACACACATACACAGACACACACGTATACACGGACATGTACACACATACATAGATATACATGCAGAGACACATACACACACACATATATATACTCACACATATATATAGTTGCACACACACACATATATATATTTGTGTATATATATACTCACACACATATATATACACTATATATATATATACTCACGCGCTCACACTCAGGCCTCTCCGGGGCTGGCGCCCTCCAGCGCCCCCTGGCGGCGCGGGGCGGCGCGACCCCGCTGTGCTCCCGGCGGAGGGGCCGGGCCGGGCCCGGGGCTGGGCACGGGCACAGCTCGGGGCACACGCGGTGCCCGGCACAGGAACATTGGCAAAACGCACCGCCACCCTCTCCTGCCGGAGCCCGTGTGCAAAGCTGTGCCGCGGGAAGCGCTGGTACCGTGCCGTACGGTGCACAGGTGCCCTCCTCCTTCATCCACGGAGGCGCCCAGAACATGTATCACCATCCTCTAAGAGAACACGCACACAAGTTGTGTCTGCTATGTTGAGCGACACGGATCTCCGTGCCCAGACAATCGCTCAGGTTTCAGTTTCTGTGGACCTGAAACACTACAAACAGTGTCAGACACTGACGGCATCTCCTTCAATGCAAATAAATTTGCCTTAGGAGTCTTAGGAGCACCTGGTTCTCTTGCAACCCAATGAGATAATAGAAGCAATATTGAATTATTCTTGAAAAAAATATATATTTTGCACATTAAATTTTAGTTGAACGTTGATGCCTTGCTTAGGCAGAAATACAAAGAAGAGAAAAGACAGCGGGAAGAGAAGGCTCAGGCCAGGTAGAAGCACACTATTTCCTCACCCCACCTTTCCCCAGGGAGAAGGCAAGGGCTAACCCAGGGGGTTTTGCCCCTGGGAGCTGCAGCTCCTTTCCCCAGGTCGTGGAGGGTCCCTTTGCCCTCTCTGTTACTTCCCGGGGATGCTGGACCCTGTTAGGGAGATTTGGACAGTGGACTGAAGCTGTTTCCAACCTTTCCTGCAGCTTTCAACTCTTCCACACATCCTGAAATCTGTCAAAGGAAGAGCTAAAGAGGGAAGTCCCAAGCTGATGGATTTTATAAGCACTTTGTGGAAGAGCTCAGCTCTCTATTTTTACCCCTGTGGTTGTGCGTCGATGGTTGCCAATGTTTATAGCGCTTTTCCCAGAGCTGCTCAGTACCATACAAACCCAAAGAGAAGAGATTGGGAAGCAGCCAGGATCAGGATGTATATCAACCTCATGCTGTCTGAAATGAAAAGAAACTAATTCACCTTCAATTTGATTAGTAGACAATTAATAGACATTGAAGTTACTAGTGAAAGGAAAAATCAAAACAAACCCAGGCTTTTTAATTCTTTGGCAATACTGAAGTTAGAACATATTAAAACAAATGTGTTCTGCTGTTTCAATGCCTGGTTCCTTTTGACATCTGGGGAACATCTGGAACAATCAGGATGCAAGTTAAAACCAAGTCTTCAGATATGTCAGATACATATTTTTTAATTTCCTCTGGTAAAAGCCCTCTACAAAATCCAACCTTCCTTTTCTCTTTGAATGCTCAATGAAACATGAAATTTCAACTTGCGTTCACCCAGGACAGCACAGTCAGGACTCTCTCCCACACGGCCGAGGCATTGCGGACACTCAGAGTCCCCGTGTGCCCCGGGGCTGCTACAGACGCGTGTGTGGCTGGTCCTGGGGCCGCACAGAGCCTCCCCCGGCTGAAGGGATCCCGCTGCCGGACACCCACGAACCCTGCGGGGCCACCAGGTCATACAGTCGCTTGAAGCACTTTGAAAATTGTTCTGAAAGCCTCACCCCATTCCCAGCCCTCCGGCATGGAGCTGCATCAGTCCAGAAGCGGGGAAGGGACCGGGACAGAGCGGGACCGCGACCGGGAACGTGCCGGGCCGGCCGCTGGGGGGCGCTGCCGCCGCAGGAGCCGCCGGCGGGCCCCGGGGCGCGGCCGCGTTCGGCGGGGACGGGCGGGGACCGGCGCTGCCACCTCTGCCACCCATCCATCCCACCTCTGCCACCTCTGCCACCCATCCATCCCACCGCTGCCACCCATCCATCTCACCTCTGCCACCCGTCCATCCCACCGCTGCCACCTCTGCCACCCATCCATCCCACCTCTGCCACCCATCCATCCCACCGCTGCCACCTCTGCCACTGCTTCCACCGCTCCCATCCATCGCACCGCTCCCCCGGCTCAGTGCCGGGTACGCTCGCCTCTCTCCGAGCTGCAGCGCTTTCCCTGGGGATGGGCTCCCGCCCGCTGCGCCAGCCCGGGGAGCTCCGCGGAGCCCCGCTCACATCGCCGCCCCCTCGCAGAGGTTTCTTTCTCCCCGCTGTGTGCTACTGCCAGCTCAGGCTTGGCCGCCCTGTCCTCAGAAATGCTTCTCATCTTACTGAGAAGGCTTCGAAAAGACTCACTCATGGAAAATATCCTCATTTTCACAAGAGAAACTCTAGAGATAAGAGTCCATGTTTGCCAGCACAGCAGCGTCCACAGAGCTGGGGAAGGCTTCATCTAGAACTACTGACACCCCATTCTTTACTTCATCCAGCTCTGGCTGGTGTTCCTCCACTTTTCCTTTGAAGTTCTAAAGTCTCTCCAGCTGTACCAGCAGGGCAGAACAATGAAATCCCGAAGTAAGCAGCATCTCCTGAGGTTTTTCTCAAAGAAAATGAAATTTGTTTCTAGGTTTAAATAATTAGCAAGATTTTGGTTTACATCAACTTGGTAAGTGTACCAAATCAAGAAAGTTACGGTTCTGGTTAAGCACTTTGCACGATGTGGACACTTCAGCCTCACCAGTCCTGCTGCCTTTTTGACTCCCAAGTTTTTCAACACCAATTACCCCCCAGGTTATTCCAGTGCACGGTTATTTAAGCCAGTCAAAGCCCTCACCCTAACTGAGACATTCGTGTTTCACTTGTCCATCAGAAGAGCTTGTGAAGGATTAAAGCTTTGGACCTCCTTGTTCTGCCACCGACTCACCGATTTGCTTTGGTAACATGCCTTGGTTCCTCTCCCTCTTCAGGGATGCTTTAGTGATCTATGCATAGAGCTCACTTTAAGAGCAAAAGAGAAAAAGCTGTAGAAATATCATGCTCTCTATTGTATGATCATTCCTGCTTCACCTCCCTGGGCTCATTCTTGACCTTAGAGTAACTTTTCCCTGTTTGTTTCCAAACACACTTGAAAAGATTGTCATGAAATTAATAAGTATTGACAGGAGGGTCAGGCAGGCAAAGCCACATCTGGATGGATACCACAGACATTAGAAATCATTAAAATGCAGGTCAGATTATTAAATTTTTTTCTTTCAAAAAACTAAATAAGAAATATGTGGCCACAAAAGTGTGCCTGAAATCTTGACTACCAATCTGGGCTCCAGATACTTCAGTGCTGGGAAGAAGGAGACAGAGTATACCATGTACAGAGCAACACCAGCACTTGAAGTATTTCGTGCTGGAGTGAAAGTTATGCTTATGCCCTCATAAAAACTTTTTTTTTAAATACCTTTGAATAATAGGAGGGACAGAAAAGGGTGAATGGTGATGAAACAGGATATTGCTGGGACATGCACACACATGACACATATCATTGGATCTTGACTGTTGACAGTTCTGTCAGAACCCTAGCACTGCTCTGGCAGAACAGGCTCTCATGTGCTCTGGCCATGCTGTGCCTGCACTGAGTATTGACCATATTTGCAGTTTCAAAGTTCTTGTTCGAGTGATAGAAAAATCTAGATAACAAAATACATGCCATGAACAACCTCACTGCCAAAACCTAATACCTGGATGTGAGCAAATACATAATTTGTAGTTCATAAACATACAGGGAGATTTAGACATTGCAATGTTTACTGTCTATCTCACTATTCACGTCTCTGTTTTCTAAATGTCCAAGTTGTGTAAATTACTGGTGAGGTAAATTCTTGCCTGTCACTTTGCAGAAATAACTTCATCTTGAACAACAGTTTTTATTGTGTTTGGAATTTGGAATTTCTTCTTTGAATAACATTGAATCCTCAGTGCTAAAGGCCAGCTGAACCCGGCTGGAGCAAGCCAAAATCTCATCTTTGCCTGAGTTTCACATCTCACTCATCACATATTTTCATATGTTCTCTCCTTCTTGTTGCAACCACATTTTCTTATGGTCTTTCTCTACCCCACATCTTTGAAGTTAAAACTATCGAAACAAGCATAACTAAACCACTCTTTCTTTGGAAAGGAACACCCATCTCCCCTCAGGTCTAGGACCTTGCTGAGGTTGAAGTGTCTGTGAGAAAAACTAAGACCAGCTTTAAAAAAACCCAACCCAACGAACTCTAAGACCCCCATTACAAGAA